TAGATAGATAGATAGATAGATAGATAGATAGAGATGGATGGATGGCACTCATATAACTTGTAAACAGCGTTAAGTACAGCTTGTGAACTGGGAGTTTCTGAGAGCTACGACTTGGCTCTGTTTAGGCGTTGGTTGTGTTGCCATAGTAATGCCTTGTCCAAATGCACTTGACCACTTGACCACTTATCTGACGTATTTAGCCCAAGTGTTCAAGTGAGGATGAAGACCACACTTTTCATTACCTGATGGGACACACTTAGTGTTGTAAAGTTTCATGCTTTAGTCATCAATTATCAGGCATGTTATGAAATGTCTTGTGTTGTTGTGAGTGTTGTTCTGTGATTGTAGAGCTCCATGTTCTTCAGAGAATGATTGGTTGTGAACTGGAGAAACTTCCTGATGGAACAGTGAGTCTGAGAGCATTTGATGAATATGGATTTGATGGAGAGGATTTTATGGTCTTTGATTCTGAAACTCTGCAGTGGATTGATAAAAACCCCAAAGCTAAAGAAACCAAAATGCATTGGGATCAGCAAACAGAACGAAACCAATTCCTCAAGCAATACCTCAAGAACTGCATGAACTGGATCTCCACATTTAACCACACCAGAAAGAGTAAGTTCTAAATACATAATAAATAAGTAAAGTAATAATAACTCATTCTTGTTTTAAAAGAGGTGATTTATCATCATTCAATAGCAAATAAATACTGATAATGAGTTCTCATTTCTGAAAATGTTATTGCTGCTTTTCATTGTATGTGTGTTTTGTTTCAGGCTTTCTGTGTCTGGGTTGGATTCTGCTCTCTAGTGCTGCCCTGTCATCGGTGGTTAACATGCTTTTAGCTTTCTGCCTGGTGTGCGGATCTGCTCTTTCCTAGCCCTGTTGTCTGTGGTTGCTTCCTCAGGTGAATCTCCTGGTTCAGACCCTTGTATGACTAGAGTTTGCCGTTTCTCTTCACTGCTGCTCTGCCAGCTGGTGACCTGCTTATTTTGCTCGTATGCTCTGTACAGTTTAGCAAATAAGCTGTACCTTCATTGCTCTCAGGTCTGCAGTTCTTTCTTAATAAGCAGCCCTTTGTGTCAAAACACTTGTATATTATTTATTTATTATTATTATTATTATGTCTTACACCGCCTGAAATTTGGGAAGCTCTGTATTAGATTAATGCACCAAATCTTTGGTTAAAGTGATAGTTCACCCACAAAGGGATCATTCTGTCATAATTTACATTATTTATTCTCATGTCGTTCCAAATCTGTAAACTTACTTTGTTCTCTACAACAGAACTTTTTTTTTCTTTCGCGGCACACAGAACCAGATTATTTGGAAATAATTAGATTTTCTGCTTCTTTCTTCTCCAGGTAAACCAAATGTTCACATCACTTTGAGGAAAGCTCCTAATGATCAAAATAAGCAGGTTTTGATCTGTCTGACCACTGGCTTTTACCCCAGAGATATTGAGATGGACATTAGGTTTAACAAAACTGTCCTTAAAGATCAGGCATCGTCTGGAATCAGACCAAATGATGATGGATCCTTTCAGATGAGAACCAGAGTGGAGATCGACAGAAGTCACGAAGGGATTTATGACTGTTTTGTCATTCACAGCAGCCTGACAGAACCAGTTTCAGCAGTATTGAGTAAATATCGACATAAATACAGTTTTAAGTGAATATGAGCAGAATGAGCTTTCTACACTAATGTGCATAACAGATGAAACTTCAATATAACAAGTCACTCTATATGTAGCATTATGGCAATACTGAAATGGATTAATGTTGCTGGTCATGCCTATTTATCTTTTTTTCTTTTTTTTTTTGCAGTGGTAAAATGCACTGATTGTGAAGAATCCAAATGGCCTGATAAAAAAGGAGTAGCAGCAGCAGCTCTAGTTCTTCTAGCTGTAGTTCTAGTTCTGATTGTTTGGCAGCGCTACAAAAGGAGACCGTAAATTTAGAAATGAGTTCTAAATATTCAACACTGTTGTTTTAAATGTCTTGCTTGTAAATATCCTTGTTTTAAAGACATTTCAGAATGTATGATGTTTTGACAATATATACTGTATGGCAGTAGAAATATGAGTTTATTTTGATATATATATATGACTATTTTGATGATGAGATTTGATTGGCCTCACGGGTGTGAAGGCACGCACACAAACACACAGTAAAAACAAATGATCAGAAAGAGCCTTTGTGCCTTTGAGCCTTCAGTGCAGGAAAGACAGGGGGGTTGTTGACCTCACAGATGTGAAGATAATAAAAGCCCAGGGGGGTTAGAAGGACCATTGTTTTTTCTGAATACAGCTAGGTTTGGTTTAAGGAAAACCTGCAAGAAGTGGGGGTGATAACAGTATAATAAGGCTGTCTGCTTTCAGTGTGATTTCAGGTCTGTTGTGCTTCAGGGTAGCTGCTGAAACATGAACATACCTCTTTAAGGAAAATAAACTTCTTTCCTTAAATATAATTTGATTCCTTGTCTCTTACTCTGTGATGCTATTTTGTTAATAATTGTTTTTGCCACAACAGTGACAATAAAGGGCTCATTCATTCATTTAGTGTTTCAGTGGTTCAAGAACACAATATTTTTGTAACTCAATTCTCTGTTGTTGTTGTTTCAGGAGAATTTACACAGGAATGGCGTATTTCTGCAGTGAAACGTCAGAGAGTTTAAAATGCTGTTGACTACTGGAAAATTACATTTATTTTGCCCATTCATGAACAGTTTTGTTGTGCATTTCTGGGGTTCTGATAAGTTCAAGTAGTCAAAAATAATTTCAATACTTGTAAACTACAGCAAATATATTTTTTGCATGCCTGTTTGCATATAGTACAAGTAAAAAAGTATAGCATTATTAAATTATTATGACAAAGTATAGCATTATTAGTACATTACACTGTTTACAATAATTATTAATATTAAAAGTATCATCGCAGTTGTAAGAAATTATAGTCTGCCTCGACCCAGCTTCCACTCCAAATTGTGAATTAAACTATGCTCCTTTCTCTACAAAGAGCTTAATTATCATATAGATAGTTCTTTCCGATCTTAATCATATGTAAATAGTGTCACTTATAGCGTGGGAGAAGCAGCAGGTCGTCAAGAACCACCTGCTGACCAAAAGGGTACATGAAATAACTGCTATGGATTCTGTTTAATCTTATCACCTTAACATTTGGTTCTTCCCACTTGAGTCTACCGAAGATGTGGGAATGGAAGACTTTCACTTTAAATGATGACTGCTATGTTCATTATTACATCCAACAACAGAACACCTCAATCGCTTAGGAGTCATTCTTGTCTACATCTGCTCTTGCGGTGAAACAACGGCGGACTGATGACAGTCACTCAGGGCGGAGCTAAGGTAAGACACCAGTCCAGTCTGTGCTGAAACGCTACTGTCAATCAAACTATCGTGGGCGTGGCCTGCCTGTGTGACGTCACACAGACAGGCATCTGAGATCGGCTTGATTTGAGAAAGGGGTAAACATTTAACCAGATTAAAAAAAAAAAAACACTGCCAACACACATTTCAGTTCAAAGAACTTGTAAAAGTGTATGTAGCATGCTATGACCCCTTTAAATGTTTTGGAAAACACAAAAAAGCTGGTAATGGTGGTTTGTGATTGTACTTTGTTTTAGTAGATTTTGTTTTACTTTAGCTGGAAAATGACTCCGTTATTGTCTTGCATTATTGACAAGCTATTTTCCTGTTTGACTCTGTAAAGCTGCTTTCACACAATCAGTATTAAATAAAGCACTTTACAAATAAAGGTGATTTGACTTGACTTGTTGGTAAAGCATAGCCTGTAAAAAATTGAGACCACTGCCAAATGATCACTTCCTCTGGTTTTACGATGTATAGGTATGGGTTTGAGTAAAATTAAATTATTATTTTTTTAATTATGTAAACTACTGAAAACATTTATCCCAAACTCTAAATAAAAGTCATTTAGATTTTCATTTATTCAGCATAAAATGGTAACAGTTCATGACATGTTAGAGGTATCAATATCGATGATAAAATATCCATATAGGATCGAAAAAAAAATCCATACCTACTTGCCGTAAACCTTTTTTTTTTACAGTCTGCGTGTTGTCACATCCGGCTTCGAATTCCCCCCTGCGTTATTGACAATGGTATAGCAGGGGTGTCACTAGGCCCTTTTTAGCGGGACTTCAATAGATTAAACATAAACATGTAAGGAGCATGTAATGTTACATAAATCTTTTATTGACATTTGCTTTTGAACATTATTGTAAAAATGCAGGTTATAGAAAATACATGTGGTTTCTATAGCAAGACTAAATATATTGCTTTGAATCACTCACTCTCTCACACACAGACACACACACTCACACACACACACTCACAGACACTCTCTCACACACACTCACTCACACACACACTCGCACACTCACACAGACACTCTCTCACACACACACACACACTCTCTCTCTCACACACACACACACACACACTCTCTCTCACTCACACACACACACACACACACACAGACCCTCTCTCACACACACTCACTCACACACACACTCGCACACTCACACAGACACTCTCTCACACACACACACACACTCTCTCTCTCACACACACACACACACACACTCTCTCTCACTCACACACACACACACACACACACAGACCCTCTCTCACACACACTCACTCACACACACACTCGCACACTCACACAGACACTCTCTCACACACACACACACACTCTCTCTCTCACACACACACACACACACACTCTCTCTCACTCACACACACACACACACACACACAGACCCTCTCTCACACACACTCACTCACACACACACTCGCACACTCACACAGACACTCTCTCACACACACACACACACTCTCTCTCTCACACACACACACACACACACTCTCTCTCACTCACACACACACACACACACACACAGACCCTCTCTCACACACACTCACTCACACACACACTCGCACACTCACACAGACACTCTCTCACACACACACACACACTCTCTCTCTCACACACACACACACACACACTCTCTCTCACTCACACACACACACACACACACACAGACCCTCTCTCACACACACTCACTCACACACACACTCGCACACTCACACAGACACTCTCTCACACACACACACACACTCTCTCTCTCACACACACACACACACACACTCTCTCTCACTCACACACACACACACACACACACAGACCCTCTCTCACACACACTCACTCACACACACACTCGCACACTCACACAGACACTCTCTCACACACACACACACACTCTCTCTCTCACACACACACACACACACACTCTCTCTCACTCACACACACACACACACACACACAGACCCTCTCTCACACACACTCACTCACACACACACTCACTCACACACACAGACACTCTCTCACACACACTCACTCACACACACACTCGCACACTCACACAGACACTCTCTCACACACACTCACTCTCACACACACACACTCACTCACACACACACACTCACTCACACACACAGACACGCACCCTCACACAGACACTCTCTCACACAGACACTCTCTCACACACACACACACACACTCACTCACACACACACACTCACTCACACACACAGACACGCACACTCACACAGACACTCTCTCACTTACACACACTCTCTCACACACACAGACACACACACACTCACTCACACACACAGACACGCACACTCACACAGACACTCTCTCACACGCACGCACAGAGAGAGAGAATATCCCAAGATTCCAATGAATAATCATAAAGGGAGCGTGTAACGTTACATAAATCTTTTATTGGCATTTGCTTTTGAACATTATTGTAAAAATGCAGGTTATAGAAAAGACGTGGTTTCTATAGCAACAGACTGTAAATATATTGCTTTGAATCTCTGTCTTTTTTAACATTAAGTCTTATATTCAGAGCATATCTATATTTACATTTGCAGATTACAACAACACCCCAAAATGTCGGTCTTCTCAGTGGCTTTCTGTGCTGCAATGGCAGGTCAGATCAGCTTCATCCATACTGAAAATAATCAGTTTACAAGACCAGCCTAAATCCACCAGGACCCTCCGTGTGTTTTACATCCCCAGCAAACCTCACAATAATTCACCGAACTGAGTGAATCTCATAAAAACTGTCCAAGAAAAAATTAATGATTCGCATAAATATAATTCATACTACATTTTCACATAAAATATTTTGTCACATTATGACGTTACTTTCATGACAATTAATCACAAAGAAACCCCTCCTAATTTGCAAAAAATTATAATTATTATAAAACATTATTTAAAGTGTGAACCATACATCATGATAATATTTGTGGTACTGACTGTAATTTTGTAAAAAAAATGTATCAAATGAAATCAAATTAAATATAAAAAATAAACAAATAAAATAATAATAATAATAATAAAAAGATCCAGGTCATATTTTACCCCAAATACATTTTTTAAATAAGTAAATTAAATTAAAATGAAAACAAAATAAATGAAATAATAATATTGATCAAAAGTATTTAAATTGTGAACCTCATGGTAGTATTTGCTGTACTGAATTTAATTTGACCAAACAAAAAATAAAATTATTATTAAAAATTATTTAAATTGTGAACCATACGTCATGATAATATTTGTGGTACTGGCTGTAATTTTGTTAAAAAAAAGTTAAAAATAAAATAAAATATAAAAAATACACAAAATAATAATAATAAAAAGATCCAGGTCATATTTCACCCCAAATGGATTTTTTAAATAAGTAAATTAAAATGAAAACAAAATAAATTAAATAATAATATTAATAAAAAAGTATTTAAATTGTGAACCTTACATCATGGCAGTATTTGCAGTACTGAATTTAATTTTACCAAACAAAAAATAAAATCAAAATTATTAAATGTTTAAATTGTGAACCATATGTTATAGTAGTACTGAATTACATTTTATAAAATGAAAATAAAATTAAAAAAAAGTTCATTATATATTTACACACGGTGACCCAGACATTTGTTGCACTGAAAATAAAAGAAAGAAAAGAAAAGAAAAAAAATATAATAATAAAAGAAAAAAAAGTTGTCGGGTCAGGATGTTTTTCATTATTTATTTACTTATTATTCTTTGGGGTGAAATGTGTGACCGACATTTTTTATGAGACTCACCAAGCCATAAGACAACCAATTTCTATCTGAACGACACACAGTCTGTTCTGCACTTGGAAGAAATCACAAAATAACACAAGTGCCATAGATAGATATATAGATATATAAGACAAGCTGTGTGTTCAGTCACAGCACATTCATTCGAGCCGCTCGCTCTTGTGTCCGTGAATGAATGTGGCAGTGTGGAAACAGATCTGTTACACCTTCACAAACACTACTGTACATCTGCGGCACGCTTTCCTGAGCTGCTCCTTTAGAAACCCAGAACTCCCATTAAAACAAGAACAAATCCAGCTGTCAGAAATGATGTAATCAACTCAGATCCCACTGAAGACGTTTTTCCGGGGGTCCGTAGCTGCAGCTAAAGGCTTTTATAAAACATCTGACAATATTAAAATCTCCACATATTGCATTGCTCTCCCATAATAGTGCTTGGCACAGAAACGTGTGTTTGCAAACGACATTTCTATACACATATATAAACGTATATATCTACATTCTTACACGATACTGTACAAACAAAGAAGTAAGTGCAAATACAGTATGCATGCATGAGCTTCAGTACTGCTGAGAGAAACCACTGAGAGCGAAAACTCTAATAATAATAAGAAGAATACTGTCAGCTCACGGGAACCATCACACCGGAGAAAAGCTTCAGTCACGAGGAAAACCACTGGCTGAATGAGCTCAAATATGAAACATCAAATAAAAAGCCCCTCGGCGTGATCTGGTAATAACAGGATTGAGTAGAAAGCGAGTACTTGGCTCTATACGACATCATCATGACCTTTGACACCAGTGTGTTTGTTCGTTCAGTCTCAGTTGGTTCTGTAGGACCGGGCGATATATATTTTGTTTACAAAATATCATTTACTTATAAAATGAAGCAACACTGTGGTGTTATTTGGCTATTGAGTTTGTGATTTTAACTAACAAGTGAGTTTGATTCATTTCCATGAATCAGTTCAAAGTGTCTGTTTCAATGAATCGACTCAAATGATTCAATGATTCGTTTACATGTTATATTTGTTTAAGCGTTCACAAAATATAAGTTCTTTAACTGAAGCAAGATTGCGTTGATTTAATGATTTGTTTGCATGTTACATTTTCTCATATAATTAATTCATAAAATCAAACAAGACTGCAATTATTATATTTGGTCATTAATTTTCTGATTTGAACTTTAGTGGCAGTAACAAACACGTTTGATTCATTTCCATGAATCATTTTAAACTGTCTGTTCCAATGAATCGATTCAGTGTTGTTTGTTTTCATGTTTAAGTGCTCACAAAAAAAAATCATGAATTCATTAACTGAAGCAAGATTGTGGTCATTTTATTTTGCCATCAAGTTTCTGATTTGAACTTCAGAAGTTTCAATGAATCGATTCAAATGATTCAATGATTTGTTTGTGTGTTATATTTGGTTTGTTTATAAAATATCATAAACTGAAGCAAGATTATGATGATTTTGTTTGGTCATTGAGTTTATGATTTGAATTTCAGTAGGAAAACGCAATTAAGTTTGATTCATTTCCATGAATCAGTTCAAACTGTCTGAACAATGAATCGATTCAAATGATTCAATGAGTTGTTTGTGTGTGTTATATTTGCTGTTGTTTACAAAATATCATGTATTTTATTTGGCCATTAAGTTTCTGATTTGAACTTTAGTAGTTCAAACTGTCTGTTTCAATTAATTGATTCAAATTATTCAATGATTTGTTTGCTCTTGTGTTTATAAAATATCTTATATTCATAAACTGATGCAAAACTGTGATATTACTTGGCCATTAAGTTTTGAACTTCAGTACCAGAAAAATGCAAGTTTGATTCATTTCCACGAATCAGTTCAAACGATTTCAATTAATCGATTCAAATGATTTTTCATATGTTAATATTGCAAGTTCATGTTTTGTTATAACGGTTTACTGTATTTTACATCTTGCATTAAACATTTTTAATCTAATTGGTTGAAATTACTAAAATAAATCAGCCTTTAAATCCAAATATATAAATATTAATATACACTAAACATGGTAAAAAGACAGAAAAATTAAATAATACAATTTTATATATTTTTTTTAAATTAAAATATCAATTTGAATATATTATGATTATATCGCCCAGCCCTAAAAATCTGAAATATTAAATTCCTATATAAATATGGTCCAGAGTGCTGGTAGAAGTTAAATAACATTGACAACAGCATGTCAACAAAGCAATGCTGAGAAAGTTCACACCTCTCCCGCGGGCAGGAAAAAGCTTTCATTGACCACGAATCATTTTTTACATGAAGAAATAGAGGTTTTATCATCACGTATGTGGAGTTCTCAGCCCGTGTGCTCGAGTGGACTGACTGGTTTGGCTGTGATCGAGCTCTGAGAGAGTCACTGATCGTGTTTCAGTCGGAATCGATCCGTTTGTCCTGCTTCTGTTTCTCTCAGACTCGGGGCTCCAGTCTGTGCGAGAGCTCGAACAGCGTCTGCTGATTGTCGATGATGTGAAGGTAATGGACGCTGGAGCGCACCTCAGGACTGTCACACGGAGAAAGCTCGTTTCCTGAGAAGAGAAGAAATGCAGTTAATGGACTGATTCCCCGCAGATCTAACGCGCGGCTACCGTCACACAGAGCTGACTGAGAGATTCACTACAGCCGATACACTAATACAGACATCTTGAGCGGAACAGCACTGGTTGCTCAGTCAAGCATCATTTGAATCATTTAGAGCTAATCATTTTTTAATTGTATTATTTTTTTATTATATATTTATAAATATTAACTTATTTAAAAATGTAATTATATGATTTGTTTATGGCTGATAACCAAGATGCTAACAAATACTGTAAATTTGATTATTTTTTTTAAATAAACATGAAAATACAAAAAACATGTAGATACAAAAAAACGAATATTGGGCAATACTATTAAATGAGTTATATATATATATATATATATATATATAAAGAGTAAAAATGATTTAGGAATGGTATTTAAACACACACACACAGAGACACTCACACACACACTCACACTCTCTCTCACACACACTCACTCACACACACACTCTCTCTCTCACACACA